CTAAGTTTCTGGACATGCTTAAAGCATATCAATTATTTAAGTGGAATGCCGATGAACTTGAGTGTTGGATCAATGAAAAACTGCAAACATATACAAATGAGGATTTTAAAGAACTCAGTAATCTTCAGCTGAAAAAACAGAAACATCAAGAGTTTGAGTTCGAAGTAACAGTTCATGCTGAAACACTCTCAGCTCTAGATTCTACGGGAGAAGAAATGATTGGTCAGGGACACTACGCAACAGATATTATCAAAAACCGTCTTGATGAATTGCATGCCCTGTGGGAAAGGCTTATGGCTATTTTCAGAGAAAAATCCAGTGTCATTAACCTAAAGCTTAAATTTGTCCAGTTTTTACGCCAAGTCAACGAGATACTTTTCTGGATACGTGAAAAAGAAACTTACGTAACATCAGAGGATTTAGGTCAAGACCTGGAACATGTTGAGACACTTCAAAAAAGGTTTGATGAGTTTACAAAGGATCTCGAGTATCAAGAAAGTTGTGCCGAAGACATCTATCGGAAGGCAGATGAATTTCTAAAAGAGGGATTTCCTGAGGATGCCCTAGTCATAGAAAAGTCCAGAGAGGTCCGAAAAGCTCTAGAACGTCTGAAGGATCTGACTAGAAAACGACAAGAAAAGCTCCTGGAAGCCTATGAGATACAGTGCTTCTTTAGAGACACAGATAAAGCTATATCGTGGGTTAATGAAAAGTCCATTCCTTTATCCATTGAGGACTGTGGTCGTGATCTTGCCTCAATCCAAGCCTTGCAAATGAAGCACGAAGCATTAGAAAGGGGTTTGACTGCCCTAGATGAAAAGATTGTTCAACTTGGAGATGATGCTAAGGCGCTTGCACAGAAGCATCCTGATTCGCAAGACACTATACAAGGCAAGTATGACGAATTAATTACTGCATGGGATAAGCTGAAAAGTCAGGCTGTAGATAGGAGAGGTAAACTGGAAGAGTCATTCAAGATGCATCGCTTTTCGGCTGACTGGAGAGACTTGAGTATCTGGATGAATGACATGAAGACGTTAATATTGGCGGATGATTTGGCAAAGGATGTAGTTGGTGCTGAAGCCCAAGTAGAGCGACATAAGGAATACACCGCTGAGATAAATTCTCGAGCTGAAAGTTTCGATACATGCATGCAAGAAGGTCAGGCATTACTAAGTGTTGGCCATCCCTGTAATGGAGACATAGCCGCTAAACTTTCCACCCTTGAAAGAGAGAGAGCTTCCTTGATGCAGTTGTGTGAGGAAAGACGTGAACAGCTAGAACAGTGTATGGGCCTTCAGTATTTTTACCGCGACGCTGAACAGTCGGAATCTTGGATTGTTAAGCAAGAGGCCCTCTTAGAAATAAAAGATGTGGGAGACTCACTCGATTCTGTCGAAGCACTCATAAGGAAACATGAAGACTTCGAAAAGTCACTTTTAGAACAAGAAGAAAAGGTACGACAACTTGATGAATTCGCTGCAAAGTTAATCGAGTCAAACCACTATGCGGCTGCACAGGTTCATGAGATTCAGGAAGGTCTTCAAAGTAGACGAAATGCATTAAAAGAGAAAGCTCAGAACCGCCGTCAGCATCTTCAAGATTCCCACCGTTACCAAATGTTCGATAGAGATGCAGATGAAATGCAGTCATGGATATCAGGAAAACTTAGAAATGCACTTGATGAAAGTTACAAAGACTCCACGAATTTGCAAACAAAGATGCAGAAGCATCAGAGTTTTGAGGCAGAAATACAAGCGAACCAATCCCGCGTTGAAGATATTAAAAAGACAGGTCAGGATTTGTTAAATGCAAACCACTACAACTCGCCAGAAATAAAAGTAAAGATTGAACAGTTGGATGAAACTTGGTCTCATCTCGTAAATGCCATGGGAGACAAGAAGAAAAATTTAGATCAAGCAAGTAGTCAACAACAGTTCGCTCGTAACGTAGATGTCAAGTTATGGTTGAATTATGTTGAAGCTCAGATAGCCTCAGAGGATGTCGGTCGTGATCTAAACGGTGTGATGAACGCACAAAAGCTGCACAACTTGCTTGAATCTGATGTAGCTACTCATCGTGAACGTATAGATGCATTCAAAGTCCAGGCTGACACGCTTGCTGCAGAAAGTCATCTCGACGCTCCTATTATCCAAGAAGAACAAAGACAGTTAGCCCAACGTTACCATGACCTGCAAATCCCTCTAAGTCAACGTCGTGAGAAGTTAAGAGATGCCATTCCCTTGGACACATCTTTGCAGCTTGAATATGGTGACTATAGTGAGCTGATGAAGTTACTAGTCGATTGTTGTATAGATTTCAAAGCACATTCGCTTAACCAAATCGAATCAGAAATGTGGCATCAGTATGCTGAAAGCTTCACTACTGGCTCATTAGCCACTCACAAAGATGCCTTCAGGTTATGGGTTAAAGATAAGAACCCTGTTGTTGAAAAGTATATTGGGTTTATAGAGTCATACCGTGATCCCTTTGGCGTTCGTGCAAAGTTTGAGTCATTTGTCGCTGTTGTAAATAGGTCAGTGTCTAAAAAATGCCAACGACTTGTAAATAATGCTGAAAGGTTGTTAACAAGTTTACCATGGCCTTCTACGTTTGAAAAAGTTAATTTCTTACAGCCAGACCTTACTAGTTTGGATGTAGTTACGTTTGAAACTTCTGGAATTCCTGTTGGAACTAATATTCCTAACTATGATGATGTACGACAAGTTGATGGATTTAAAAATGTTTCTTTGGATAATGTACTTAGTGTTCGTCTCGAGGATCCTAAACCAGAATTTCTACGTAATGAAGACAAACAAATGTACGTGGAACATGCTGAAAGTTCCTTTGAATTACAAGTTGGACTTCATGAACTGATGGGATATAGTTCAGGTAAACTGTTTCGGCGTGATTCTTATGGAAAACGAAATTTCCACACGAAAACTACTGAATATGTCATAAATGGAGGTCCTGTAAAAAGTTGGTGTGAACCAGGAGAAACGTATGACAGCAAGTTTCCAAACCTTCCATCTGCAATAGATAAGTGTCGAGCTGAGTGCGTTGGAATTTATTTATCTGATTTACCTCTTGTTCTGGAGCAGTTCGGTCTGAATACCAACTGTGCTCAAGGCAATGTCTCAGATGTAGTCTATATTAATTGGTTGTCAATGTCTCCTTCAGCTGTAACTTCCATGGAGATTTATTCTGCAGGAGAAAATGCTGATGACATTGGATCATGGTGTCAAGCACATTATTGTGCTCATTATGCGATTCTGCAAGTTTTGATTGAAGCTGACGATTCTATGGGACGTACGCATAAAGTAGTCGGTGAGGACGATGCATCTGATTTGTGTATTTCCTTAGTTCCAAAAAGGCCTTTAACTGCGGCTCGTTCAGCAATTGGTGAATTCTTAAGAAAATTACAATATTACAAAGGTAAAGCGAATGCTATGTATGGATATGCTTTCTCCCAACACTATAGTCGACTACTTCCAAAATATTTGACTGATTTGCTCTGGCATAAATGGCTACGTGGATATCTTCTGATGCTGCAAACAAGATCTAAGTGGTTGGATATAAAGCACAACCTACAACCTGATGATCTCGTCTTAGTTAACAGTGCTGACACACAGAGAGGTCTCTGGCGAAAGGCTATAGTTAAGCAGATGTACTATGACCAAGATGGCCACGTCAGGACACTGTGTTTGAAAACTTCAGCTCAAGAAGTGGAACAAGATATAAGAAGCGTACGAAAGGTCAACGTGGTGATCGTTCGCGGGGAGTGTTAATCGCGATAGATAGATAGACTGTATGATAAACAACCAATCAATATTATGTGACCTTTTTTATCGCGATTATTGGTCGATTTATTGTAACTCTCACCACGTGATGACCTTGAATGTTCTTTTTTGTCTGTCACTTTACTTGTATATACATGTAATTAACTGACTGTTCATTTTGTCCGTACCTTCAATACTGTACGGTACGTTTTTGTCCGTTTTTTGTAATGACGGTGGATTGTACATTTTTCTTGGTGTAATTTTATGATTTATTTTATGTTTTAGAAACAGATAAAGTTAAAGTCAAGTTATTCTGTTTTAACTATTGCTAAGCCCAGACTCTGTGTTGTCAGTATTGAGGGAGGACTAAATCTGTAGGATAAAAAATAATCCTACATTCACGATTAATTAATATCTCTCATAATACATTCAGATGCAGAATAAAAACTCTACTGTCTGCATTTTCACAATTGAAAGAGAAAGACGCAGTGGAATGGAGACGCATATAATAAATAAAAAAAAGAAACAAAACATAATTTCTTTTAAATAATAATACTAACAGAAACGCCTTGTGCCTCAGGATGACGATAGATATTGTTTGAGTTTTTTTCAGCTTTGATATTCGATGCACAGAGTTTCATCAACAGCCTCGGTAAAATATTTAAAGAGAAATATCTTCAGATATATATATATATATATTTGCTGAAGATGACATTGACAAGCCTAGTAATGAAATATGCATGTATCAAGAGGCATCAAAGCTCAGAGAACTATCAAACAAACAATCTCTACATAATCTTGTCTAGTTTATCCGCCCCCCCCCCACCACAAGACAAAAGTAAAATACTGGAAATAAAAAGCAAAAGAAGAAAATATGCGGAAATACTACGAAATTCAAACAAAAGTTCAATATTCATTATAAAATTATTAAGCTATATAGTTGAGGATTCTAAAAATAATAAATAGTGAGTATAGAGTTACAAAAAGACGGAAAATTTGTCAAAATACTGAAGAATAAGAAAAATTATAAAATAATAACAGCTCACGTTATCACATCAGATAAAAAGACAAATAAGAAAAAGAAAAGAGAACTAATGTCAGGGTGGTCTTTATTATTATTATTATTATACCGAAGTCAACAGCAATCAGATAATACAAAGTAACTATAAATACGAACCACATTATCTTACAGATACAAAAGACATTAATAACATATATGTATTAAAAGAATTGCGTATCTTGACTAAAACTTCCAGCCATTTTTAAATGTGTATAACTCGATGTCTTTTTATCATAAGCCAATTCAATGAATAGACGTTGTGAACCTAAACGACTAACTAATGGATTAGGATAACCTAATTCAGTATAAAATATATACATTTCCATATCTGGACGTCTTAGGTCAACTGGACGATTCGGTGGTATCCACGTTTGTGGTACACTGATGAAATGGAATTTGCCTACTTCACTGTCAGCTAATTCAGCCTGTTGAAATAAAGAAGAAAATAAAATAAAGATTAGGATAAGATGAAAACGAAAGAAAGTTGGTCGAAATGTTTTCTTTTTCAGATGAAAAAAACAAAACAAGTATTCCATAATTTTCAAGAAATACCAGAAAAAAACATTGTTTTACATGATATATCTGATATCTAGTAGTCTGAAGAGAAACGGGAGAAAGTGAGAGACAGAGAGAGAGAGAGGTGGGGGGGGGGAAAGAGGCGACTCGTTTCATAAGAACAAAAAAGACTACCCGTCAGACAGTGCTATGCTATAGATTAGCTGTCATTCAAAATGTGCCTTATTCATTCTTAATTCTCCTTTAATTTGGAGACGAGAGAAAAATAGAGACATTAACACCATATAAATTTGAACGGCGCCTTAATCCCAAAGTTTTATTGAATAACTAATCCCTGGATTAATTGTCACATCCTCATTTGGTAATCAGTGTTCGTTAGTATGGTATACGTGCTTTGATGATACACCATCAGAGGTGGTTGTAATACCAGGTGTATTTTATTACAACGGGGAAAAGATAGATTGTGATGAAAATCCTGATTATGCAAGTATTAAGCCATTGAAATTAGATGATATGACGACTTACCACTGTTTATATTAAACGGAGGAAAATGGTAATTCATGCAAATATCCGACACAGTGCCAGGTGAGAAATGCAAAATGATGTTATGGATCTCAATCTACTGCTCTCCCCAAATGTCATTATTAATTGGAGTGGGATCAAGTTGGAAAACAGTAAGGTGTGGTCAAAGGCAAACATGGCACTAAACTATGCGTTCTGTGACTCTTCATCCAAACCAATAAAAACAGGTGTAGGGTTAATTCTTTGGCATTTTCAGGATATAGAGAATCAATCACTGGAAACTATTGGTGATATGAATGGAAATTGTTCACAGTGAATTGCACTCAGATATGAAGAACATTATCACAAACATTCACCACACTGATGTTTCTGTGTTATTATTATTATTCCCTTGAGTTGCGATTCGAACAAAGTGCTTCAACAGCACATCCTTGTTTCATCCTGTTCTCTGCAGTCCATTTACCTGGCTCCGCTATCGGCCATAAGCTCTCATCTCCTCCTCACACGATCTCCTCCATATCACCCTCGGACGCCCAACTCGCCACCTTGTTCCCAATGTCACTAAACGATCTCAGAGTGTCGCATTCATCTCCATTTCCATTGGCATATTTGTTGAGCAATAGGCTCTTGATTCACTCATCGAAGCTGTGTGTTCACTGCTTCAGTATTCTGCTAACTTGTTGTTTATTTTGCTTATGCATATTATAGTTTACATGACATTAGACATAAGTCGTCCGCGAAATGTAGATCTTCTAGCGTTTTCTTATCAGTCCAGCGTATTCCTGTCTTCTCGCTCCCCATTTGCAGTCCACCACAATAAGGAATATATCGTCGCCTTCTCTTACTCCTATTATATTCACTCCAAAGGCTTTGCTGAGTTTTCCGTTGTGGATCACCTGACACGTGGCATTGACATATAGCCAGATGTTGAATGAAGTCGATATAGATTCGGGCACTGCACACCGTAGTAATGAAGTGCTTTCCAAATTACTTATCAGTCAACGCTACCTGGTGAAGGCTCTTTCGAAGTCAATGAAAGAAGTTGAGGTAGAGACAGGTTTGATTGCCGTTCTTTCCTCTGTTAGATGATGATGCGTAGAGTTGCAATTTGATCAGCACATGATTTACTTTTCCTAAATCCAGTTTGTTCTAGTCAGTGGGGCGGTGTTCTGTATCCAGTACATCTTATATTCTCTCCACGATGATGTAACTTAGTATTTTACTTGGGGCATTATTCCACTCCAGTTCTTGAACAGGCCTAAGTCGACCTGCCATCGTAGTTCGGGAAGGTAGCTTTCCTTCCAGTCAGTAGGTACCCTTCCTTGCTTCCAAACCTTTTTCAATAGTGCTAGGATATCTGCCGCAGTATCTAGGTCCGTTTTCAGTGCTTCAGGAGGAATTTCGTCCTGTCCTGGTTCCTTCCGCGCCTTCACTAGCCTGATAGCATTCAAAAACTTCAGCTTTTATTAGAGGACTTGTGTTCATTGGCATTTCTGGAAACACTGTAAGCGACGGTCCTTTGAATTGATGAGAACAATATTCCCTTAGCCTCTCCTCTTTGGTAATTAGGATCCCATCACCATCATTGATTATACCTGTGCTGATCGTTTCCCTGATAAATTTCTGGATATCTGATGCAATATTCTGAAGTCTGTCTAGCATGCAGGCTGTTGTGCTTCAATTTCCAGTGTGTCGTACAATTGTCTTTTGTCTTTCCTAGCACTCGTCTTCAATTCTTTCTTTCCTCAGTGCCTAGTATATTGAACTCAGTTTCTGTTTCCCATGTTAATATTCTCATTGGCTCTTCTTCTGTTTCATCATGTACTTCGCATATATTACCGTTCAGGTGTCATTGCAGTATTTTCTATTTGATAGATCTCATTCATATCTACCTTAGACAATGGATAGCAAGGTATCCAGCTGTCACCGTTTCCGAGATATTTTGACTTTTGTGAAATTTAGACATGGTCATTACGGGTGATCAATTTATGCTACGTTTCGCTTCATAACGTTCGAAGGAAGAGACATTTCGCAATCTGGTTTCTTGCATCGTGTAGAACACACAAATGTCTATCATTGATACCACAGACACTTTTGCGCTTCTGCCATCGTTTCCCAGTAAACTTGAAAATTTCACCAATTTTGGCATTTCGGACATGGCCGCAAAACGAGCCTATAGGATCCTCTGAGAAATTCAATGTTTTCGTCATAACGTTTCACCAGAGCAATAATTTTCAATGCAGTCTTTTCTATTTGATAGATCTAATTCATATCCACCTTAGATAATGGATAGCAAGGTATCCAGCTGTCACCGTTTCCGAGATATTTTGACTTTTGTGAAATCTGGAAATGGTCATTACGGGTGATCAATTTATGCTACCTTTCGCTTCACATTCCAGTGTTTGTGGCTGTAGTCTGAGTAATCCTGAATAATACAAAATTTTTTAAGGTGGTGACTATGGCGTTCACAACCAATGATTGTCAGTTTAATATTGCCGAAAAGTATAGAAAATAAGAAAAAGCAACCACAAAACTAATAATTACATGATGGTTAATGACAGGACAATTTTGTAATACTCATAGTGCTAATAGAGTCGGAACCAGTGGATGCACAATAGAAGGAATATAGTAAAGTGCAAAAAAGGAAGCCAATGTTAATATTTTAGGTAGCCAAGTGTATTTAAGAAGGAGTTCACTAACGAATACAAAATAAGAGAGAAGTAAAAGAGCCTAAAATTATGTTATTAACAACAAAGCAAGTCATAGGTTTCGCACTTAACATTGTCTCTGTCACTTAGAACACGGGCCAAATATGGTATCGTTGAGTTCCTGTACTTGGTTATAAGAGCATAAATTATTTTATACTGATTTCTCGTCCTACTTGATGAGATACAAGGCGAGAGTTGGGAATAGAGGGGGTGTTCAGGGTCGGAGAGTATGGTTTTACACCATTTTTCGCATATATCCAGATGCCTTTCAACTTATGTAGTGACGAGCTGACTGAGTTTTACACCACTAGTCCTACTGACTACCTTCAACATCCTTCTCAGGATGGCATAGTCCTTTTTCAGTAGACCAGGAAAGACTCGTGGGGAGCAGTAAAGTAGAATAGGTGAGATACAAGAGTTGACAAATTGTGAAAGTAGAGGTTGGGTGATTCCAGATTGTCTTACTTTCTTAATGTAGAAGGTAAGACAGAACACTTTCTTAGAAATCATTAGGATATGAGATGTCCAAGTAAGGTCGGAAGATAGAACTAGACCGAGGTATTTAGCATTAGACTTAGTTTCAATTTTAGTCCCCTCAATGCAACAGTCTTCATGAGAACTAACTAGTGTTTGTAGATCTCGTTTATGCGTGAGGGCGAAGTCAATAGTCTGGCATTTTCCGGGATTCAGCATGAGACCATTTAGTTTGGACTTCTTACGACCGCGTCTACGTCTACTGCTAAAACGCTCCTGATATTCAGTGGAGTGTTTTTTTTTGGCTTGTTTTGTTTATAATACTGTATGTCTCTAATTTTTCCTGAGTACAGTTACCAGTTGAACTTGATTTAACACACACACACACTCCTTATTGTTATTTGGAAACGAATGTTTGATTAAGAGTCATGTGTCAGTCATGTATGTCATGTATGCCATGCATTCAGTGTACAATGACTAATGACATGAAAGCCTTTACTCTCTCTGTCTCTGTCTCTGTCTCTCTTTGTTATTTGATACTATTTAGTTTGGACTACTTACGACGACGTCTAAGACCACGTCTTCGACCACGACTACCTCATAATCGTGGTGCTAGTAGTAGTAGTAGTAGTAGTATCAGTATTAGTAGTAGTAGTAGTAGTAGTGGTGGTAGTAGTAGTAGCAGTAATAGTAGTAGTAGTAGTATCAGCAGTAGTAGTAGTAGTGTGGTGATTGCTACTTATCATCCGATTTAAGTAGTATATCAGGAACGAAGTAACAATATGTTTGGCACATTGGAAAGAGCAATCAAAGTAGAGAACCATGAGAAGAATGTTTCCATATGATGCAGAATCCAAGAAGCTATCAAATGAGACGATATTCGACCAATTCGTCAAGGATGTGGTCAAGATGTGCAAATGGCCGTTTGAGAATATGCTATACGAAATTTAGCTATGTACCATACACGTTTCACCAGAATATTCCTTTTCAATAAAATTCACTATGGAAGTAGAGAATGAAATTGGGGAACTACCTATGTTACACTGCAAAATACAAAGAATAACAGATGGTAGCATTAAAACAACGCTATATAGAAAAACCACACACTCTGGAAGATTTCTTGATTCTCACTCAGCTCATCCACTCTCGGTGAAACGAGGATTAATGCAAGGACTTGCAGATAGAATACGTAGACTTACAACAACGCCAGAGGACCAATGTAAAGAAATAAATGTCCTATTCAAAATGCTACTCAAAAACAACTACCCAAAAGAATTTATAAAAGATAATATAAAAAAGAGGGTAAAACCGGAGAA